CCAACAATGTGGAGCCGGCGAACGGGTTTCTGCTGAGGTACTTGCACCGTAAAGCTGTAGAGGCCTACCAGCAGGAGGAGCAGGACTCAGCGCAACACCAGGCTCTCCTCCGTGTGCTGGACTGGATCCCGCAGCTCTGGTACCACCTGCACACGTTCCTGGAGAAACACAGCACTTCAGATTTCCTCATAGGTGAGATACGGTGATTAAGGCTGACCGAGGAGGCGTTGGGTCAGAATATAAACATAGGGATGTGATAGAGGCCTGTTAACTGATTTTTTTTTCCTCCTCCCAGGTCCTTGCTTCTTCCTCTCCTGCCCAGTGTCAATGGCAGAGTTCAGGCAGTGGTTCATTGACCTGTGGAACCACTCCATCATCCCGTACCTGCAGGAGGGAGCCAAAGATGGCATCAAGGTGACACAAATAGTGTTATATTAGCGCTATCAAAAGGAAACTCCTTAGAATATTTCTGTTATAAAATGGACTTTTGTCTGTTCTCTCAGGTGCACGGCCACAAAGCAGTATGGGAGGATCCAGTGGAGTGGGTGAGAGGCACCCTGCCTTGGCCCAACGCACAGCAGGACCAGTCCAGGCTCTTTCACCTACCTCCTCCCAGCATAGGTCCGCTTAGTGAGGAGAAGAAGCCCCCCAAAGATACACCTCCACCCAGCACACTGGAGTCAGACCCACTGGTGAGTGAACATTTTGTCTTGAGATGTGTTTTACTTCAAGAACTGTGTCCCTCCCGTACAATTGATTTCACCACAAGAAGAAGGTTTCCTGATTGTGGATTATGATGACTGTAGACTTTGTCTTCTTCATCAGATCTGCCGAGACTGTCTTTAGAACACAGGAGGGGTGGAGGGGTCAATACACATACATAAAAAAAATCCTCATAGCAATACTTTGCAACTCATAGAAACTTAAAAGTGAATGGGGAAAGGGGTGAAGAAGTAAAAAGGCTGCAAGAGAACATTTTTTTAAAGCCTTAATGCTGCAAAATATCTTGTTTGCTGCAGTTAGTTTATTACACATGCCCTGAAGTGTGCAAAGCATATGTGTACATTATCATGATTTCTTGCTAAATTTCATTTTAAATTGGTATATTGAGGGAAATGCATCACAAATAGTTTGCTCCATGGTCCCAGGTGAAGAAATATTACCTTGGAAAACCCTATCAAATCACTCAGGAAAATCCCTGTGTTGTCTTTGAAACATAAAACACTCCCACATTCACCAATTGCAAGACAAACAATTCTTCTTTCCATGCATGAATATTAGTAAATAATGTGGGCAGATAGTAAGGTATGCAGAAAAGAGTAATTGAGCAGTAATTTCTTGCACAGCTGGTGGCAACAGAAGAGCAAGTGGTGCATCAGTGTTTCTGTATAGGTTTGCAGCCGAGTCAGGCAAACTGAAATAGTTTCAGTATTAATATGACATCAACCAATAATTGACCACAGAACGACAAGAACAGGAACCTGCCTGCAGCTCTTAATCTAACAGCTCACTGTGGCTGCATTGTCTTGTTCCTTCGCTCTCTAAAAATTCAAACTGACCTGCTGTTAAAAAATATAAAAACAGCTGTGTCAGTGCTAAGTTCTGCTAAAAATGTTGCATTCATTGCGATTGCGTAAATAGAACCCCTGTTTCCAAATATTATTGCGACACTGATACAGTAGAAGTGGGAAATGTTCTTTGTGCAGTGAACAGTGAAGCTGTTTTCCTGTAAATCGCTGCGCTCTGTGGACACTGGTGTTTCATCAGTTTATTGAATGTGCTTCACATACACAAATACGCTGCACCCAATGTCAGAAAGCGAGCATGCAAGGTGCTGACCTCGGGGGTTCAGTTGAAAGATACCACAATGTGTAGCTGGAATGTTGAATGATAAATGAAATCATACTCGTCGGTTGCCATAATGCTAAACGTGTCCACAAGATAAATGTAAGAAACATTTCAAGTCTGTTCATCTGCAGTTTGACTCACTCTGATTCTGTCTCCTCCTGCTGCCCAGATGGCCATGCTGCTGAAACTCCAGGAGTCAGCCAACTACATAGAGTCTCCAGAGAGGGAAGGCAGTCTGGATCCCACTCTGCAAGCTACTCTCTGATTTGACTGTCAATAAAGCTAAGGAACTATGGACTCCACATTATGGCTGACACCAGTGCAGTCCCCATGAGAATTCAAAGACTCAATAATGAACTTTTATCGTGTGCTCAGTGAGCAGTTGCAAAGCTAAATGTAAAGGATCTACAGATAGAGTGATTATGGACAAAGGGTTTGCTCTGCCCTGCTATCAGAACATTGGAAAGACAAACTGATTTAATAGGAAGCTGTGATGATCGCGTCAGGGAAAAGACTTGTCTTCTCTCTGCCCTCAGTTTGTCCCAGATGGGTTGTTGTTGAATCTGCAAGTGCATGGTGACCGGAATAGTATGATGCAAAATATTACCTATAGTCCTGTTGATCAAGACCCATTTGTTTTGTTTTTTTTGTTTGACCGTCACAACTTTCACTTCAACTATTGGTGCTTAAAGGTTTTCTTTGAAGCCACATACTTCACTTAAGAAAAAAAAAGAAAAAGCCTCAGAATTAAAACGGTGTGACTCCTCTAGAAGTAAAACCATCACTCGACAACAGCTAAAATGCACTTTATTTTTTACTTGTGATAATTGGATTTTAGGAGGCTGTGTCGGTGATGATGTATCACATAGGGGGACTATCAGTTTGGCCAAACCATGCAGTTCAAGATGAAATCCTGTAGATGGCAGCATCGATTCCTGCCTCAGTGCTCTCTTGGTGCATTCAGTCTTATCAAAGGTGCTCAGTAGAATATGCCACACACTCAGAAACTACTATGAAAATAGGCTTGAATGTTCTCTTTTTTTTTTTTAGTTTAGCCAGTTTTGTCAATTTATCATGGATCAAATATCATAACTGTGAAGCTGCAGGAGTGACATGCATGGGTGAATAATGAAACGAATCAGTTTTAGGGTGATTCTGTAACAAAAATGTCACCATTGGTGAACTCAGTAGCCAAATGTGTACTGATATCTTAACCACAGAAACTGACATTAACCCAGCTCAACATACTGTATTGTATACACACACACACACACACACACACACACACACACACACAAACAAAACACACAAAAACTGCTTGTCTGCCAAAACGGCCTACCATTTCTGGCTATGCTTGCATATATTCTGTATTTAGATATGAGTTTTCAAACACAAACTTCTCTTGTAATAGCTGAGGATACAGCTTTGAAAGTCTTGATTTTGTAGGATTTTGTACTGAGTCATCTTCAACGATTGCCTGTATACAGTAAATATCACCAATGTATACTCGACATGCCATTGAGTCTGAGAGGCATTAACAGCACCGCCGTGACCGTTTCCGTCATATTACATTCATCGTCCCAAAAGCAGAAGTAGACACTATTAGATTAAAAAAAAATGTACCAGTAATATTTTCCTTCCTTTTTGCATTTGCTTTTTTATATCTTTGATAACTTGTTTTCAAATTGCAGATCAGTTTCCTTCTCATGCATTGTTTGGCTTCCTCCCATTCCTTTCTTTCATTGGTTTGCACATAAGAAAAAATATGCTAGAAAGTAGTGGATTACAGTATTTATTGCTCACATCTTGACTGTTATTGCGATGAAGGAGGAAAGTATAAAAAAAAGTTGCGCAAGAGAAGGAAACTGTAGGTAGTTGAGATACTCTCAAACCTCTCAGCCCCCTCCACCCTGAAGTACCTCAGACTGCCATATTCTGTCCAGATGTTTCTCTATTTTCCGATGAAGGTGCTGGTGTAAAGTAGAGACATGATGCCTAAGTCTATCTGTGCCTGAAACACAATTTGGCCTAAAGCTGCTTCGGAGCTGCTTTGATCTACCACGCAGAGGCCTCGATGTAGAGGAAACACGATTACTTCCTCTGACCTACTCTGATGTCACTTTAACGTCATCACCTTGATGCCCAGCTTTGGGTGTAAAGTGGGTCATGGTTTTCGACGGGGTAGTCATCGTGACGAGCTGTTGGTAAAGATGATGTATGTGTTGGATAACGCTGCGGTGAATGTGTATCATGACTTGGCTGCTTGTGTGCCATTTGACACCATTTGAAACTTAAGCGTGAACGACTTGACATCGCTGAGGAGTTGCCCGAGAGCGGAGGGACGGAAAATCAGCCTGGAGATGTCGATGCATGTGTCCCCGGTGTGTTCCCAAAGTTTTCTTTTCATTGGACCTACCACGCTTAAACCTTATCATGGGAGGGATTTTTAATAACTGGATATTTTCCTCTTTTCGCATTGTTTCTAAAGAGCAGACTTTTTTTTTTTTTCTTATGCAAATATTTGTAAAGGTTTCTTCCTCTTTTGTACATGACGTCACTATTGTAAACACTGTAAATAGTCACTGCATCTGCGACAACAATCACGAAGACTAAAGAGAGAGATCTAAAGAGAAAGCTTGGCCCCCCCTGTATGCAGAAAATGAGCGTCCTCTGTGCTTTTATTGTCTTCCTCCTGCAGGAGGGAGCACTTGGCTGAAAAGTGGGCTTCATAATGGTTGTATGGCATGTCTCTATAGCCACATCAAACCCCATATGTCTAACATTGAGCAATGGACACAATAAAGTCATGCCATTCTTCACATCAATACCTGTCTTGGTTGTGTGTTTACATCTTGGCATCCACTGGAGGGCGCTAATGCTACTGTGTGTAATTATAAGTTAGATTGTACCACTTTTTTTTTTCCTGTGTATGAAAGTTTCTGGAAAAGTATTTTTTTATTTGAAGCTTTAATTCTAAGGAATGTGTTTGTGGCATTGAAACCAAATGACATGTCCAAGCTTCTGTCAAAGATGAGGATGTAACTGAGGTAAGGAGGCGGGTGTAGGAGTCAGGGAATGGGTGGAGTTGCTCACAAGCCCCCCCAGCACTCCCTGTATATAAATTACCTAAGACCCCTCCGGCGCCTCATCCAGAGGACTGGCCGTCTGTCAGCGCGATGCCAGGCAAAGCTGCGCCCATCAAGAAGTCCCCAGCCAAGAAGGCTGCCGAGAAGGCACCTGAGCCTGCCCCGGAGCCCGAACCAGCACCTGCAGAGGCCCCACCTGCGGAGGCTCCACCTGCAGAAGCTCCACCTGCAGAAGCTGCTCCAGCCGAGGTGCCGGCCGATGCAGCTCCTGCAGCCGAGGGAGAAGCTGCTCCCGCCGCCCCAGCAGAGGAAACCCCCGCTGCTGCTGAAGGAAGCCCTCCAGGTATCTCCACAGCCGCAAAAATACGCAGTGGAACGGATCCGACGGCTAAACTAACTAATTTTAGGTTTGATGCAAAATTGCAAAAAGTTTTTGGGGTTTTTTTGTCTCCTGTAGGAGTTATAATGTTCCTGGTGAAATTGTTTCAGAGAGGTGTTGATTGCAGATTTTAAAGGTTGACATCTGAGCTGCTGTTAAATTTTATTACATTGGATCATTTTATATAGTCCATTAAAAAAAAAAATCACTTAATGAATAATGCACTACAGTTCAACAGCACCATAAACTACTTCCATAAAAATGATTACAATTTTTTTCTACAAAATTGAACTATAGTTTTTGTAAAATAAAGTAAGATAAACTTTATTGATCCCTCGCTGGAGAAATTCACAAGTTACATCAGCCAGATACTGATGAAGCATACTAAGAAAACAAGAAGTACAACGAAAGTACAATAAAGGATTTTTTATTTTTTTTAAAGGATAAATTTAAAAATACAAAGTATATGCACCTTTCACATGTACAGATATGCATGAGGGTAGTTTTCTCATGCCGATCTGTTATATTCTGCAAGTTTTGACTAGTCCAATTTATTAAATCAAGAACTAAGTGTAGTAGAAGTGGCCTCATTTGCTTTGTATTTGCATGCACCTGATCCAGACCATGACACCCACGAATTACAGCCTCTAAAATCCAGCAGAGATTCTGAGTATAAATGGAAATTCTAAGTGTGCACAGTGTGACATTTCGATGCTATTTATAAACGGTGATGTCATGACACTAACTCAGCTTTACTAGTTTTGCTAGGAACTGATAAAATAGGTGAGTGCATTGTACAAACTCGCTGTGACTACTTTCTAAAAGAAAATACTCTGCAGCCCTTTGACACCTGATGTTCAGCACTTGACCCAGAGCCATTGCTCATGCAGCAAAGGAGATGTCAGCCACGCCAGGGAAGCCCCATCACTTTTTAAAACTGTTAATTCTCTCCTAAAATGAAGCCTGGGTTTACTGTAAAGAAACAAATATTGTATTGTAGAACTGACCATGTGAACTCTTAATGCTTTTATTCAGGCTTTGCAGATTTGGACGAGATTATAGAACTCTTGAAATAGTTAAACCTAACTCAGAGAAAACCGCTGATACCCACATTAGTGAAGTGACTTTTATTTGCCCTTTTTACTCCTCGATTTACTGCTCCATCATCTTTCGCCATAAATCTAACATCAAATATAATTGCTGCTGTAAATCACATTGCTATTAATGACCATTTTCTGGCTAATAATTAAATTAGCCATTGTTAAAGTCTCTGCACTTTAACAATGAAGAAGTAATGGAACAAGTAGCAGCAAAAAAATGCACTGGACTTTTATGAAATTGCAAGACCCATCAATGACGTCTACTTCACCACCCAGGAGCTGGTGAACTCAGAGGCAAACCAGTTGCATCTTTATGTTCATTCTTGTTTAATCTGCCTTCTCTTACTCTGTCTGCCTACATGCAGCAGACTGCGTTTCTGGCGTTCAAACATTCTGTTCACTAGACTTTGGGTGGTGAAGTGCGTCCGTTGATGGGTTTAGTGGAATGGCATATGTTTCTTTTTTCGCCCGCTAACCTCGACATGTAACCCCTAACTTCAGCTGACGCCCCTGTGACAGAGGAAGGAGCCGACTCGACAGCTCCCGCTGAGGGTAAACACACACCACAGGCAGCCCGTGCGCACAAGCTGTAATCCAAGATGTGTGCTTGTGTCCTGCTGTGATCTACACGTGTTGTGTTTATTTCTTGCCCGTTGTGTTTGACCTACTGATATTTCTGTCTGTTAACTTCATCCACTGTCAGTTTTCTTTCTTTTCTGATTGTCTGATGAACCCACCCATGAAGTTTCTCTTGGTGGACGTGTAAAGGTCTCGTCCAAATGTCTCCAAGGTTGTGCTCAGGAGTCAGATTCTGGCTCGTTGTTCTTGTTACTGTGAATGTCCCCACTGCTCTGTCCTGCTGCTTGCTTCAGTGGAGAAAATCTTGATCGAATGAAGTACAGACTGACTGATTACCTGCATGAGTACAGTTTCATGCAACTTATTGGCTTCTCTAATGGCATTTTAACACTAGCTGCTGCTCCTGCTGCTGAAGATGGTGCCGCTGCTCCCGCTGCAGATGCTCCAGCAGACGGTAAACATATACCACCACACAGATAGCATCTCTACTACTTTTTTTTTTTTTTAAATGCTACCAAACAAGTGCTAGCCATCATGCCTTTCTTTCTTTGCAATGACTTTTTCGCAAAACTTTGATCCTCCTGGTGTCTTTCCCAGTCTAGTAGCACATCTAAATCTAAAATCAAATCGTGAAAGTTTTGAGAAGGTTCGGGTTGAGACATCACCATATGGAAAAGATGCCCTGGATGTCTATCAGGTCCTTTGTCGCTTTTGTTTGTTTCTAAAACAACATTAACCTCCTGCTTATTTAATGCTAGCTGCTCCAGCTGAAGCTGCTGTAGTTGAGGAGCCGCCCAAGGCCCCCACACCTCCACCTCCTGCAGGTAACACCAGCATCTCTGTGGTTTAGCTTTGTACTGCTTTACACATTATGAGGCATTATGAGGGGGACTGGTCGAAGAGCTCTCTTTAAAACCAACAATATTCAGTTTACCATCACTTATGACAACAGAAAAGCATCAGATAGTCTAGTTTGAGAGGCTGGGAGCTGCAAATATTTGTTATTTATTCTTTAACAGTATTATGTAACGTAGCATCATTATGTAAAACAACATAATGCAGAGGTGATAATATAATAATAATAATAAAAACCTTGTTCTGGCTCTCCAGTTGTAAAGATTAGCTGCTATTCTTTGTCTTATAAACTGAATATTTTTGTGTTTGGGACCTCCGAAGACACCACCTTGGACTACAGTAAATATGTGATGGATTTTTTTTTTTCTGCTGTTTTCCAATAATTCATTGTTTAACTGAGAACAAATACCCTTCGTGTAATCATGTTGTTAATGGAAAGCATGTGGGTTCCATTGAGTTATTTTAGCTCATCCTTCTCTTGTCCAACTCAACTTTCATTAATCTGCATTGTTTGAACCCCCTACAGTCCCAACCAGCGCTCCTCTGGAAGTAACTGTGGATGATGTGAACGACTCCAGCCTCACCATCAAGTGGACAACGCCAGCGACCATTGGAGACTCCGGCCTGGACGGATACACCATTGAGTACTGCAAGGATGGAGGTAAGTCTGCGTATGTCTATCTGTGTGTGTGTATGTGTGTGTGTGTTTGTACGTGAGACCGTGAGGCTGCACCTGTCCACAGAGTGTCAGAGGCCACATAGACTCAGAGCCGTATACGGCAGGCATCAGTTCAGCGGCTGTCACTGTATCTCCTGACACCACTTTTAGAAGTGCTCGTTTGCTCGGATGACAGCGTGCCTTCTGAGGTTTCATCACAGTGGCCAAAGTGTACTTCTTATGGGCAGGTTGTTTGTAAACTTGTGTCGACAGGTGATAAACCACCTAACGTGCCTCATTAAGGGGTGTTTTATATTTTGGAGATTGAAAAATATATCAGATGTATTTGAGAAGATTTCTGGCCGGCTGGACCTTTATTGCACATCACTCCTGTGGTGGTGCTTCCATCTACTGCCTAGCTTCATGGCCTCCAACAAAGGCAACAAAAATAGAACAATATTTGCACCTTGTTCAAGCTACGACGAAATTTATACTTCTAAATGAAAATTACACCAAAACTTCTCCCACTAACACGAACCCTGTTTTATTGCCTGCAGCTACAGACTGGGTTGTAGCTAACGAGGAGCTGACCCCAGCTAACCGTTACTGCATCAGGAATCTGACAACCGGCGACCTGCTGCGCGTACGCGTGGTGGCTGTAAACCCCGGTGGCCGTAGTGAACCTGGTGCGCTTGCTGAGCCTGTGCCGATCCGCGAGGTTGGGGGTAAGTAGCAGTCATTGTCATTTCTCCAACTGTACGCACACTGCAATACAAAATTTGTTCCCATCTTTGCATCTTTACCACATGTTGTTGTTCTTGTTTGAGAAGGAACCAAAGGAGCAATAACTTTGTCTTCAAAATGAGAGCTTTGTTTGTCTGTTTGTAAGTTTAACTGTGCACAAAATGCCCAAACCTGCTATTGGATAGCCTCACAAAAATCCCCACTAAATCCCTACAGTCAAAACAACATGCGTCCATAAAAGATACAGTCAATAGTTGAAGCTTACAGTGGTGTAAAGACAACTTTGAAAATGTCTGTCTCCAACCTCTTTATCGGGAGATCTCTGATAGTGGTAACTTATGACCTATCCTTAAAATACTCATGTTGCAACCAGGGAGGCAGAGGTGGTATTAACAGCCGGAGTCTCAGATGGACGGCACAGATGCATGGGCATAAATCCCACGGGTGCTGACAAGTGCTTTCATTAGCTGTAAATCATGCTTTCACTCGCATGTACGCACATCTTCAGCAGTGACTGCTGGATTGACATCACAAATGAAACAGTCAAGCTCTCCAATTTTCGCGTCTGCATTTATCTTTCATGAAATAAATAGCAGCAGACTGTGCACCTTTGTTATCTGATAGTTTCATCCTGTAAGCTATTTATTCAGCACTTTATAACAAAGATTTTCTTTGCAAAAAGACATTATAAATACTGATATATAATAAATATTCATGATACATTAAAGCAATTGCATTAGGAAAAACATGCACCTTGCAGAAGAACGGCAAAATGGCCCAAAACAAGCATCTGAAAGCACCGAGAATGGATGGAAGAAATCACTGAAGTTGCCCACTATGAGCCCTGATCATTATCCAATCAAATCTCTGGGAAAAGACCTGAAACCCACATGTGTTTGAAGGCACCGTCAGGCCTAAGTGTCCTAAGTGTCCAGTGTTGAGCCAGTCTTCAGGATGATTTAATGGCAGTCAGGAAAAAGACTACATTTGGCTAATGAGGCATCTGGCAGTCAAGTTATTTATTGACATCAACCTTGTCACTGCAGCCTCACTGCAGCTTTGTTTATGGCACTGCCGCTCCAGCTGTCCTTTTGTCTGACGCAGGTACGGCTGAAGGATATTATAACACATGCAAACCAATATCTATCATATTAGTCACATTTTTGTTGCGATTACATTTTCATTCAACCAGTGTGGCTCTAGAGATACAAATGTTGGTCTCTGATTTGGTCCAGACTTAAATATCTGCGGATAGATTTCCTTTCGCAATTTGGTACAATTAGTATTCATGAAAGCCTCAACTGCACCGTGCTGAGTACTAATTAGCACATATTAGCATGCTAACGCTGTAAACTGAGATGATAAACATTATATCTGACAAGCATCGGCAAATTAGCACCATCATTATGACAATGCTGACGACAGCAGTTAACTTAAGTCTTGTTGAGTTTTAATATAGCTGAGTATAAAATGTGAGTTCAACAAAACTGTTTTTTTTTTTTACCTTGAGAAAAATATTTGCCATCTTGTAAAAAAATATTTTCATGTCAGATAAGAAGTCATTTCAAAATACATGCATCCTCAGTTCAGGTCTACTACTATCTCTGTACAGGCTGAAAATGTCCCCAAAAGCATGTTTGAGTAATCATTTGTTTAAACCAGACTTGGTTCTGTTGCCATAGTTGTGATTCTCCGGCCGCACTGAGTCACATTGACGTAGCATTGACCTGAGCTGACATGCCCCAGTTATCCACATCCAGAAACACAGCTTACTGTCTGTGAGTACATTTCCTGGTTGGTGTTCAAAACGCCACAAACAAACAGGAACCTTTGGTGGAGAAATGCGGTCATGCAGTCAGAAGTGCTGGTCAACTGAGGGGAGCGAAACACGAGCCTAATTGATGGATTCTAGGTGGCTTGTAAATTCAGCTGTGTGTCAGTCACGCTGTCCGGACCACACAACTGTCCACATGTACAAGCTTCTGATGAAGACACGCTGTCCTACATATGCTGAAAGCCCCCCACAAAGACACTTTATCCAGAGACAAAGACAGATTATAGATGGTTTGCAGGAAGACTTGCTGGCTGCTGGATGCTGTACCGCCAGCAGCACTTCAGGGCATTGTTGGGAAGTGTGCTGATTAGCAGGGATTACTGTTTGAGCCAAATCTAGAGGCAGACATGATCTTCTTGGGAAATGATGGTTCAAGGAGGCAGATCACTGCCTGTGCAACAGTGATATAGTGACAAATGTAAGGACAGAGGGGATGCGACACACTGGGCAAGACACCAAGCTAGACTTAGTGCAACTGAGGGAGAAAGTGTGAGAGGATGATCCCAGTAGAAGATGGACACGAGGCTGATGGGGGATTGAGATATGAGGACATTTTGAGTGGATGAGGAGAAACAGGCTGCAGCAGAGTAAAGGAGATGATGGAGAGCAGCAGCTTGGTGGTTTTATGTATCCACTAAGCCCAGTGGGCTTTTCAGACATTTGCTGCTTATGCAGAAACATGTGAGCGATGCTGTTCCTGATACTTAGCACCCGACAGGAACGAAACTATTCAGCATCGTGGCTGGGTAGATATCTCGCAAAGTCTTAACCATGATGCAGTTCCACCCATATGATTTTATTCACAGCCAGAGCCTACCAGAATTTTGTTGCAGTGGACTCAAGATGGGATGTTGGAGCTCTCCAGTCAGCTGTAAGTGCTGACATCTTCCTGCTGTTTTCTTTGTGCATAACACGGGGGAACACGTGTCAGCGCTCATCCAAGACTTTCTCGTCATCAAAGTTATTTTAGGAGCTACTGGATGCAGGGTCTTCCTCTTTTGCCTCTCTCTGCCCAGATACTACACTTTTCTTCAGACACCCAGAAACTTTGTCTGGCTAGATTTCTTTTTCCTTCCTTTTTTTTTTTTTTTAAATGCACGATACAAGTGGAACATAACCATGCATGATGGTGGACTGTAGAGTGTAATATTGCACCGGGACTGAATTTTAAATGTGGTATCATGAAACTATACTCTAACTATTTTCCATGTTTCGCTTTTTGCAAGTATTCTATAACATCTGTTCTGTCTGTGCTAATAGCTGCAGCGAGCAGTTGTTTTGATTATCAGTTTATAAAATGTTGACATAAAAATGTGATTCACAATTTTTTAGAGTCCATAGTAATGTTTTTTAATGTGCTTGTTTTATTCAATCCAGATTCCAAAGTCAAGCTTTTATATCTGGTATTTATATGACGGGAAAAAAAATGCTACAAATGATCACATTTCCAAAGCTAAAACTTAAAAATATCGACTATTTTTGCTTACAAAATTGTACCAAATTCTTATTGATCCATTATCTAATTGTTGCAGCTGTAAACTATAATCTACTGTAATAAATAATACTGTAATCTATAATAAACTGTAATCATCATCCACTCCATAAGACTCTAAACAAGTGTTTATAGCATCAGCTTCACCATGACAACTGTTAAAATGATTTTCGGTGACGTACTTGCATGGTTGGACCGTATGAACTAACTTGAGGGTTAATTTTAGCTCCTTCAGTCATGTTCTCTTGACAGCTTTGCCTTGCAGTGAATGATCTATTTGAGTCTTGTTGACCTGCCATTTTGAGCATATGTGACCCCACTTTGAAGGCTGAAGTGGGACATGTGCACCAGTTTGTACGCCGTTGACTGGTAATGCTAGCTCATGCTGGCAATTGGATGATTTATGTTCATGTTCAGATGAAGTCATTTGTATTTATATGCACTAAATCAGCTCAGTTCATCAGAATATAGAACACGGACGAGGCAGCAGATAAAAATGTGCTTGACTTGACTTTTCAGAGCGTCCCAAGATCCGCCTGCCACGCGCTCTCAGATCTCGTTACGTCAAGCAAGTTGGAGAGCAGATCAACGTGGTGATCCCGTTTCTTGTAAGCCGGCACACACGTACATGTACAACCATGTAAAACAAACACAGCTGACAGATAAGCCGTTACATTTTACCTCGCCTTTCTTTTTCCAACTTCTCAGGGAAAGCCCAAACCTGCAGTGTCCTGGCTTAAAGATGGTCAGCCTGTGGACACCAAGAGGGTCAACATCAGGAACAGTGACAAGGACAGCATTGTATTTATCCGCACAGCTCAGAGGGAGGACTCTGGCGTTTACGAGATGGCAGTTAAAGTGGACAGCTTTGAAGACAAAGCCACCCTCACCCTTCAGATTGTGGGTCAGTCAGAATGTAAACAAGCATATGCTTACATGAAAAGTGTCTGTGTGACATGTGTAAATGGTGACTTATTCCGGACCTCCCCGGTGAATCGACTCAGCTGGCTGTCCGTTTGACTTCTTGGTTTTGAGACTTGTGACTTGCTCTAACAGAAATTCAAAGCATTAGACAACATAAATGACACCTCTAATACCGGTGCCCTTTGACCCAGACTATCTGAACGTGCCGTCAGCTGCCGTGGGCCGGATGTTGGAGGCATTACGCCTAAAATATACAGTTAACTTCTGATCCTACGCGATGGGGAGACACCTTTCATTGTTCTGACGAAGCTGCTGGTTATAATTTTAATAGTTTATGCTTACAGTAATGTGTCTCCTCAGAGCGGTCTGGCCCTCCCGCGAGTGCGAAGATGGTGGACAGCTGGGGCTTCAACGCTGCTCTGGAATGGACTCCTCCCAAGGATAACGGCAACACAGATATCACCGGATACACCATCCAGAAGGCTGACAAAAAGACAGGGGTACGGTGGATGTTTACAAAAAAAATACACAATTACATCAACCAATTATGCTGTCAGACTGTGTGAAGTTGCAGATGTAAGGCAGGATAGTACACATGTGTAATTTAAGGTCTGACTTCTTCCGCTGATGCTGATACCATCACTGCAGCACCAACATGGATGAATCGTATATGATCAGGCCATATCATGCATTTATCTGTGTTTTCATTCTTTGTTTCAATATGTGCTACAAACAGCTGTAGGACGATCCAGTTCTGGATGTTGTCGGTGGAACAGTTTTTTTTTTTTTTTTTTAGAAGAGTGTTAGTGAAAAGAAGAGCATTTTTCCAACTAGCTATATGTCTTTTTCACTTAGATGAATCTCTGCCAGCATAGGAAAGATTAAAATCCAAGCTGTATAGCAAACATGAGAAAGGAAAACTGGAATTGGATCATATATTTTTTAATCAGCGACCATGGAGGACAATTTTGGATGTTTTGTTTATTTATCAGTGGCGGTAAGAGCCACTTTATCGCACCTGGAGCGGAATGCTGCCAACAATATACTGTATAAACATGCAGTCTTGATTTGATTTTATTCACAGCTATGTTTGAAGTAAAAGCAATAATCACACACATAGATATTGCATATGCACATATGCACAGCATTTAACTATCAACATGGGTTAAAAAAAAAAAAAAAAGAGGAGTATCAGGGTACAAGATGTAAAGAAAATGTGAAAAATACAAAACAAAGGATTCAGTAAGGACACACCACTCTACGATTGCATGCTGCACTGAACTGACCAGTCTTTTGTGTGTCCACCTGCAGGAGTGGTTCACAGTGCTAGAGCACTACCACAGATTAACTGCCACCGTCTCAGACCTCATCATGGGCAACTCGTACTCCTTCAGGGTGTTTGCTGAAAACCAAGTGGGCATCAGTGAGATGAGCGCCGTCACCAAGGAAGTGGCCACCATCCAGAAGACAGGTGTGATCTTCTTGCTGTACACAGTACTTTAATTCCTCTGTGGTCAATTTGTTTATAAGAGAAAGTTTTATGTTCATGAGTTGCAGTACGTCTGTGAGAGTGTAAACTGAAGTGAAGCCTTCAGGAGTGGAAATGGAAATGGCCTTGGCACTGCTTTAAACACAAGGTGGTAACTCTTGTCTGCCAGGGCACGGCAATACTGAAATAAATTTTGAGAGGCTGCGAAAACATTAAAACAGGTGGCAGAGCTGTGTTACTGCGTTGCTGTGTCTGTGTGTGTGTGTGTGTGTGTGTGTGTGTGTGTGTGTGTGTGTGTGTGTGTGTGTGTTTGCGTCTGAGTGCCAGCATGTGTTTTATATTTACCTGTGGCAGCTACCCTGCAACAAATGTCAATGGTGATGTGAGGTCAGAGTCTGTGTATATCAGTAGTGCTCTGTGTCTTAGTGCTCTGTACTTTCATAGTAGATTAAATGAAAAGTAGCAACACATCAATAGCAAATTACTTACATCTCCTATATCACTACATTTGAATATTAATGTCAGCCATATTGGTCCTTTCTGTTGTTTGTTAGGGTTTTGCTTCTGCAGTCTATGTTACCAAATGAACTTGCCAAGCACTTTATAAATACTTTGTTACTGGTTGTGTAAGTATCATTACCTCAAACTAAATAAATGTTTTTTGCAGTTTGGTACTTCTTCTTTTATTTATTATACATTTTTAAAAATTTTAACTGTAGACGGGGAAGTTACCATATACAGTAACTTTATTAATCTTGATTTGCAACATTTTTTTTTTTTTTAAGTCACAAAAGTAAAAATATCTTGAAATATCCTTCAATAACACCTAAGGGTTGACATTTTATTTCAAGGAGTGCCCTATACAGGGTTAACCTTGCTTTGTGTATTCACAGGTATTGTCTACAAGCCTCCTGAGTACCAGGAACGCGACTTTAGCGAAGCACCAAAGTTCACCACTCCCCTTAGTGACCGAGCCGCCACTGTGGGATACACCACCAAGCTGCTGTGCTCTGTTCGTGGATGTCCTAAGGTCAGGCTCACACTCTTACACTTACTGTGTAATGTCTACGGTGATGTGGGGTCAGAGGAGGTACATGTCTGTGCTGTTTGCACAGAGGTCCATGAATAGGTTTAACAGAATTTGCAAAAGTTTAAATATTTTCTCATCTGAATGACTATTTGTGGTTTTCTTAGTTTTCTATGACAGTAAATTAAGATGTCTTTAGACTATTGGTTGGACAGAATAAGCCACCTTGGACATAAGGACAGTGTGATAGCAATAGCTCACTATTTTCTGACATTTAAAAGAGCAAACATTTAACCATGAAAATAATCAACACACTTTCATGAATCTTTTCAAGATAGTAGTGTAACATGTGATTGGATGTTTGGAGCACATGCGCAAAGAACAAACCAAAATCTGCCTGGTGAAATGGACTTGCAAGGTGTGTCCAAAAGCAATATAGGGAAGAAATAGCCTGGACAGAGTTGTACACTTAACCTTTGTACACCAACAGCAGTCCGCATCTTAAAGTTTCACATTTTGCAGCATTTTTTTCATTAACCCTTGTCACTTACCTTACGCTAAAACCAAACATCAACTCTTCCTTCTGCGGCTCATGATTTTTCCACGTGGTCATGAATCAAAACATAAACAAACAGTGTTATTTGAGTGAGAGGGCAGCCCCAAAGCTTCTCCTAAACCTACCGAGACTTTACAGAACCTTGTGACTTCATGGATCAATCAGATTTAACTCAGCACAAGTGAAGTAGGCGGGTCAGTTTGTGACTGAAAGTAAATGTGTTTCACACGCTTCCACAAAGACATGACTGGGGAACAAATTTCAGTCTGGCTGCATCATAAGGAGGATGTGGGGAGACATCAGTTGATTCTAATGAGAAAAGCTCAGTGTTGTGGTTCTGGCTGCCGCCATCTTGGCAGTGTTTGACTCCTTTTGACTTCCTGCTAATCCAGAAATGAGCGAGGAGGAAGAGTGTGAGTGGAGCTGAGGTGGCTCATGCAAACATCTCTGTTACTGTCCTGTGATGACCCACCTGTCACTCAGTGGTGGCCACAGCCTTAATTATGAAACAGATTTGAGCCTTAATACAATTTAAACAGATGAGTTGTTTCAAAATTTACTTTCTAAGAGTTGTCATGAATGGACCAATTAACTGCAGAAACCAAAACAGTTTTTTGTACCAGGCTGTAAACGTGGTTATTTAATGTGGGCATTTTAATATGGAGATTTATGGGGATTGACTCGTTTAGGTGCCAACCTCAAATACTGGCTTCATTTTTCACATTTGTTTGAAATTTGAAATACTTCTTATAATAAAAAAAAAAAAAAAAAGCACAATATTATTTTCCTGAATTGAAAAAAGTTTTGTTTTTACCGAGGACTTTCGATTAATCGTCGGATGTGGGATATACTGTTGCAGCTGAGGTATTAATAACACAGCTAAGAGGATGTGCTGTAGAACCGAGGCAGGGCTTGCTCTGGAATGTCTGTGTGAGGTTTCAGTATGTCTCTCACTGTTCTTGGCTTCCACTGCCCAAGTTAAACTTATCTTTACAGTTGCCTGACAGACGTAGAAAGATTAGGTGGCAGGCCAGGGTGGAAATGCAGTTGATTATTCACCATAGCTGTCCTTGGCTTTTCCCCAAGGACGACAGCGGTTGGACGGTCTTCACATGCCACTATCTGTTAGACAGATGTTTCAAAAACAGCTGAGAATGTCTACAAACAATTGTGTGGGTTTTTTTTTTTTCTTTAGTGGTGCATTTGTCTGCATGTGAGGACAATATTTTACACCAAGGCTCATCGCAGGCGCCAAAGACAATGTCTGAAATAATAACAAAGACCTAGTTATTGGTTTATGCTCTGTGCTTGAAATAGGATTCTGTAGACTAAGATGTGAGTCTTTCTTGCTGTCTGTGGACCAGAAAGTTTGCAATCAGAGAAACTGAGTAGCAGCAACTGTGTGAAAACATATCCATTGTTCATCTGTAGGGGGACTATGGAAAGAAGAGCTTGTAATCCCCCTTTCATACATGAAACCCTCTTACTGTGACTGTGTACCTAACCCATGTTTAACCTCATACATACAAAACTGCTGCCACAGACGAATCCCATTCATAAACTAAAGTTTCTCCTACATCACTATAAACCATGTAGTTGTCAGTTTCTCCCAAACATTCACTCTCTCTCCCCCGCCTACTTCTGCACACTCGTCCTCTTTAACTTCATCATTTATATGGCGACTATAAATAAAATTATGTTCTGCTTAGTGGGTTGTAAGTGTTTTATAGCATGTGTTTATTGAGCCACTATCTCTTCCATGGCATGGACGGAGGAGACTGTTGAGGAGGTGCAGCAGAAAGGCATGTTCAGTAGTGTGATAACTTGTCCCGCTGTCTCTGATAAAGAGCTGTCACATACAGAGGCAGAGACTACATTAGAAGCTGTGAGAGGAAAGATAAGCAGGGAAGACAAAGAAGAGACAGTGATAAAGACTATGGCTTGTTGTCCTGTCATGGTTAAGTGGAGACATTTCTGTATCGCAGAAGGTACTATTTTTGCCACCTGTCCAGACCACAGCTCTGGTGTCAGTATGAATGAGTCTCTGTATGTGTGTGGACAAACGTTACACAGATTTTGGTTTAGACTGTCTTTGTTTAGCTGGTTGCCTCTGTCATTTAAGCTTTGAATGTGAACAGGTTGACAACACTGTGTCAATGTTTAGGATGTACAACTTTTGTCATGTTCACCGTCTTAGTTTAGTGTGTTAGAATCCTAGCAATTGCCGTTTACCATAAAAAACAAACCACAGCTGAGGCTCATTAACATTTTACAGGTCATAAATCATGGTGTTGGACAAACCAGGTGACAGTGTTAGATGAAAGGTTCACCGGGGATCACCAAAGGTATTTACATTTACCAAGGGTTAAGGTTAGGGGTAAATCTCACACAAACCCACAAATGTCAGACTCCTAGTGTTGCTATAGAAATACTCAGTGGATTGGTAAAGTTAGTAAGACTCATCATCTCAGTATCAAAAATGTCTGTGCAAAATGTTATGGCAATCCATCCAACAGTTCATGAGATACTTGAGTCCGGAATAAAGTAGGGGACTGACTGATCAACGTGGTCAGCCATGGAGCCATGATGCTAGCATGGATAAAATTGGATTTGCTTAAGTTAATTTTCTATGTGCATGCTTTTAAAGGCTTGGTCCGAAGTCCACCTAATGCATCAATCCAATATTCTCATATAACTATAGAGTTTGATGTAAAACACCAACTCCTTGTATGTCATAAAGCCTGCAGCTTGAACATGTGTTTAGCGTGTTGGTTTGCAATGGCATCATCAGCATTAACAAATATCAAGTATACAGTAATCAGTCTTCAACCGAGGATGGTAAAAATAGTAAATGAGCCGACACTAATATAGTGCTTCCCTACCTTAATAGACAAAAAACTTGACAATTTTGCCTGTCAGCCATCCGTCAGCATTCCAGCGGCCCACGGGGAGCACCTTGGGATTCAGTGTCGTCGTCACATGGACGAGGAGGAGCCAGGGCTGCCATTAGCGAAAAGCCAACTCAACCATCTAAATCACAGCTGGTCCAGTGTGAAAACATGTCCCTGGTTTTTGTCATACTGGACATGCAGCTGCTTCAACAAGTAGCGTTAGTTTTCACTTTGTAGTGTTTGTTCAGATTAGTTTAAGTTAAACTAACCTTGACCAAAGAGTTTTAAATCAAAGATCAGAAAACGATGCAGGAAAATGTCAACATAGAAAAGAGAATTGCAATGCCAAAGCTATTTCATTAAACTCTAAATCCCTCTACAAACAAAATTAGTTCATTCGATATTAGCCTTGGTTTCTAAACCTTAAACCCTGCAGCTTAGACGGTGGTGTGCACACCTGCAGAGCCAAGAAAACCCAGTGAGAGGCCACTTGTTTCACACATCATTGAGGAAAGTTGGAAGCGGTTCTGAAATGCATCAGTTGAGGTGCAACTCAGTAATCAGAGTCACCTTGCATGAAGTTAGGCCATGAGGTAATCCTCACAGGGAGCGTGCTACTGAAACCCAAAGCAATAGATCTGGGGTCAGGAAAAGGTTTATGTTTCTCCCACTCTATCCAACTGTCACACTCAGCACAGATGATCTGAGCTCAGTGGAAGACAAGCTGAAAACAGACACGACACAGTTGCTGTGTTAAAAGCTTGTACTGATCAAAAAAAAAAAAAAAAAATCCGATTGGTGAGTTTATTGAAATAAACTTGTAATATTAGAATTTCCACTGCAGTTTTCAACTTGACAGAAAGGAAGTCAGCATATTGATTAGTTTGGATGTCTCTTGTGATTTTGAAAAGCTGACAGCCCCTTTGGTAAATGAACTGACTCCTATTGAAGGAAAACGTGTCCAATATAGAGAATCTCATTTAAGAGCTTAAACGAATGTTGTAAAATGCTGATCTTAATACATAAAATGAAATATTTTTCTTCTTCTTTTTTTAAATTAAATAAACCTTTTATTGTACTCCATATTGTGTGTACGCTACCAGCATTATTAATGTCTGCAGTTTTCATTTTGAGTTTTTATTTTGCTTCTGCTTTTATGCCGTGGTGCTACAAAAAGAATTTCTAATTGAAAGACAGTAAAAAATAAACAAAAAAGAGCTGAACTATAATTGTAAAGTTCATTCTAGGTTTCTGCTTCCATTTTAAAAATCAGCACAGGTGCTAATGTAAGTTCAAGACATGAGCATGAGCTGAGAGGAAATTTTAGAATTTGTCATAGCATCAATTTGCCTAAAGACAAATATAGAATAAAGAAGGTATGTTTGAGGAATGGAAATGTTAATGAGTATATAAATGTGTCCTCTCCATCTCTCAGCCAAAGATCGAGTGGCTGAAGAATCAGATGATAATTGGTGACGACCCAAAGTTTCGTCAGCTCTCCAACCAGGGCATTTGCTCCCTCGAGATCCGGAAGCCTTGCAGCTTCGATGGAGGCGTGTATACCTGCAGAGCCAAGAACGCCCAGGGAGAGGCCACCGTCTCCTGCAAACTGGAGGTCAAACGTATGTATCTCTTGAAACAAGAGAGGAAAATATCAACTGTCCCCCGAATATTATCCTCCAAACCACTATGAGATGTTGTAACTGTAAAGATCCACAGGTATTTATCTATGTAAAATTCAAAATTTTTAACTTTAACTTATGTTCTTCTCCCAACAGAGGTTATTCTTCCAGACGGTGACAAGGAAAAAGGCAAATAAACCAATAACTAAACCTATAGAGGTAAGAAACAGAACATTAATTGGTAATTAAGTTGCTAATTTTACCAATTAATTCATGGAATCAGTTGCCCATTGATTTGATTAGGCATGTGCATCTTGCACTTTCATAAATGTGCAATGAAACATGTACAAAATTAAGCAAAGATGTCGTATAAATCCATCTAAAGACAACCATCCTACTCTTGACTGTCCCAGCCCCAGTGTTGTGTTGTTATTCTTTCCAAAGAGCATCAGCAGGGAGCAACTGGACTTTTCTTTATGGTTCTTGAAGACGTTCCACCAAGAGGCTTCTTTAGTTCTGACTCAAGAACTCAGGGAGCCTCTTGAATGCAAGGTGAAATGTCTTCAAGAACCAAACTGAGAAGTCCAGTTGCTCTCTGCTGAAGCTCTTAGGATAACCGTGACCTGGATGACTGAGAATCTCCACAAACATGTTGTTATTCTTGATGGTTTTCCAGTTCACTTGGCAACACCTAAAAGAAAACCTGAACAGACCTCTTTCTGGCCATATACTTTGGATCATAAATGATCATAGGAACATACAGACTTCTTCTAAACCCTATAGGATGCCAAGCATCTCATTTGAACAAATAAATGGACCAGTGTCAGAGCCTTTGCACAGAACAGACAACAACAGCCCTCCCTTGTGCTTATTTCCTTGTGCGTTGTATAAGTTTGTGGCTTTGTTCTCCACTCAGCCCCCCATTTCTACATAGGTGGGTTGAACAGAAGCTGTTAGCATCCTTTAGGAGGCTGGTCTTGACCCAAAACTTCCATTCACCAGTAAGCGTAGCATAGGCATTTGTATGCAACTGTGCAACTTTTTCTTTCCTGCAAGGATGAACTGACCCAGCTCAGGTGTTTTAAAGGAAGCCCAGATATGTCCCTTGTAGCACATTTCAATGCTGTATATTTGTCTCATAAGAAAATATATCTCTCATTAGTTTTCTTAAACTCACTGTATTACATTAAAACCAGTAACAACCAATGTTCCCATCCCTCCTGCCCTCCTCTTTCCTCCTCATCTCTGCTCTCTCCTCTTAACCTTTCTCCTCTGTACATCTTGTACCCTGGTTTTAGATGTGGTAATGTGCCAAAGATTAATGTCAGCATAAAAGAAATGCCAAATTTGATTGTTTTTACAGCTTTCGTCTTTCTATTTATACCTACATTCATGTGTTGGTATTGGCGTTTTAAATGCTCGAGTGGTGTAGCCTTTCAAGGAGCCCCGGGAGGCTTTGCTTATTGTGTCGCATTGAGTGTTGACAAGAGAGGCCCCCACTAAAGTCTTTTAAAAAAAGCATAAAGTAGTAAGAGACCGTGGCAAAATGAAAAATAGGAGAGACAAAGAAAAAATAGAAGGGAAGAAAACACTTGAGAAGGTAAGAATGACAAGATATAAGACCAAACATGCTGGTAAAGAGATGCACTGGATAGCTGGAGGTTGTAAAGGAGTTACAGAGTGAAGGATAATCGTTTAATCTTACTGCAAATACATGCCACTGGTTCTTTTTACACGACTGTGAAACACAACCTCTTTCCACACCTACTTTACATTCAGAACATGTAAGAAAGGAGCCAATTACATTAAATAATTTCTAGATGGCAGTGTTTTTCTCTCTACAGTTATGTGCTGCTGTCTCCTTAATCTTGACTAAAGCCTCTCTGGACTAATGAAATACAATTTAATTAAGGCAAAAAAACATTTTAAAAAATCACAAAACACATCCATATGTGATGCTTTTCGTGGGATTCTTCTATAACTCGTACATGCAATTTGCTTTTTATTTACATTTTCAAACCGGTGACTGCCTGTGAGTTTAAACTGCTGTTCGGTTGAATAGTAAACTGCAAGATTTATAAAGTGAAATCAGTGGAAAAAATAATTGCTACTGTAAAGTAAATGGCATATTTAGCAGGAACTGTTTTGATTGGTGGATCATGACTTCTAATGAGTATTTACAGCACCAGGACAGCCCAGAGGAATATTTTCCTGCTCAGTCTCTTTATTTTCTCATCAGAAAATCATCTTCTTATTTGGAGATGACTAAATTCTAACCTATTACTCCTAAACCTCCCTTTAGGAGAAATAAGGAGCAAAGATTAATGCACTTTAAGATAAATGATCTTGTCCTGTTTGAGAATTATTTGAGATACACAAGAAAAGCTTCTTTTGTTGGACTCATCAGCATCTTTGTGTTCTTCTTAATAAACTTATGTAGCAATAAATAGACAAATAAGAGAAAAATCCCTGCTGACATTGGACGAAACGAGGGGTATATCCTAGACAGACAACCAGTCATACTATTCTGAGTGAGTTCAGAAACATCAATTATCCGTGCATGTCACAGAGGGACAACATGTAAACTCCACACAGAAAGGCCCCAGCCGCCAAGTGGTTCAGACTCCTCCTTCTTCAACCTTCTTGCTGTGAGGCGACCTCCTAACTTCACGCTGCCTCTTCAAGTTACCTTCATGTACTAAATCTTTATTACAAAATCAAAACTTCCATCCAAACAGATGTGCAATGGAAAGAATTTTTTTTAAGTATTAGCATATAAAGGAAATCACCACCACAGCTACATAAGTAGATGTCACAGTCTCAAAAGTTATTACTACTTATTCCAATAACCGCACATCCTTAGGTCTCCACATTTGAAGTTGGAGGATTAGATGTATGATTGATGAGATATGTAAAGAAAAGACACTCACGTTTATTAGGGAGATTAGTAAGAGGTCAGTGAGACACTGAATTTCCCAAGTAGATCTGAGAAGTGAGATAGCTTTGAGAAAAAATTAAAATACACAGAGTTTAAGGTGAATTTGATGACTAAGACAAATTTATCAAATTGTCTAGGCTCGTTTATATGCCAGTTCAGTTCAGTTTTACTTTCAAAGCACCAATTTACAGCACGTCATATCAAAGGACCTCACATATATAGTAGATTAAGACACAATTATACAGAGAAACCAAACATATTCTACATTTCCTTTAGATTCCTCTCGCGCAAGCAATCACAACTTGGTTACAAAAGTACTTCATTCCAAATAGAGAAAAGAAGTCTTTTTATGGGATTTGTTGATAGACGTCAATTATAGTTGGCACAGGTCATCAGAATGCATCTCAAAGTGGCCACTTTTGATCAAATGTTGGTGTCCAGCTCACATTTTATTTTGCAATTGAACAACACAACGTTGTTTTAGTCACATGTCCAGTTAGAGGAAGACTGTAGTGTCATTTTGAAAATTTACCTTGAATACAGGGCCTCAATATCCCCGCTTTGACACTGGCAAATAAACTGGATGCAGTTGCTGTGCTACATGCACTCTGCAAAGTGACCTTCAGTGTGGTCAGGGACACAAGTGTGTTCACACTATACTGTAAATGGGGTCACATGCCTTCCTGACCACCCCCCCAAATGAGGCTCAAGCGATCAGATCTTAATGCATTCTCAATGTGTTTGGATGCATTCACACCTGTATTTACAGCTGTCCTCTTGTGATCAGATTACCAGAAATGTAAACTGCGCTCTATAAATGACGTGATCATGCTAGTGAGTCTGTACAGAGTGTCAGGATGTTGTCCCATACGGCCATACATGGGAGGGCCCCTCGAGGAGGGAAAACGAGGGATTAGGCGGGGAGCGCCTTTGGGTGGGAGGCAGCAGTGATGTCAGCGCGGCACTCCACAGCTTCTAAAAATGACTCCAGATGATGTGACACACAGCCAAACTCTTCACATTACCATGAGTCAACAGGCCAAGTGGAGTGCTGTGAGAGGAAGGGAGAATGGGCTAAGGGGGCAAAAACCGAGCCAGATAATCCTTGATGGAAAATACCCAGAGGATCTCACAAGCACACACACGCACATTCAAGGCCTTAAAAAAATCAACACACACATTGATGGCTGAAGTGATTAACACCTGATGACCCCTTTAACACTCCTCTTTCTCTAATTATCTTTCCATCAGTGCCTTTAAAGGACCAGCAGAAGTCCAGGTCTTATGCTTTAAGGTGAGTGTGTGTGTGTGTGTGCTGTGTTTACTGTTTTGTGAGGACCCAGACCTGCTTACACAGGCACATTGTAGGGATACACCTGCCCTTTGGGGACGTAAGCAAGTCTTCAAGATAAGTCATAAAGATTTAATGAATGTAAACATAATCCAATGTCCTGCCAAGTGATGCAAACACAGTATGTTTGTGTGCCCCTAAAAGAGTTGAGGTCATTTTTCAAAAAAGTGGTACATTACACATTACTTCTTACTTTTAAAAAAAAAATGCATTATTTGTCTTATTAACTCCCTGCCCTCGAAAAAAGTAAATCATTGCAGTACTTGATACATTTCTTTTACATTACACAATATAATGTTAAGCCTTAGTCTTGCTCACATATTAGCACAAGTCCCTATCCTTAAAAGGAGGACATCCAGAAGGTCTTTCTTTACACTCTTTATTAGGGTGTTCTCATAAAGCTAGTCTCACATAGTCTGATCATTCTATGGACCCAGGAAAAAAATGATCTTGGTTGTTTGTACTTTTTGAACCAATCACAATTTTCTGGGGTGGAGCTAAGCCAAAGATGCTCGACAGTCTTCTCTCAAAATAATGAGGGAATTGTTTTGGTGGAAGGTTTGCACACAGGGAGGCGAGCACTGTCATTAAAATAGCTTTTTCACCGAAACAACTAGCAGGACTGCCTTAATGGATGATCCAAATACTTGGCAAAACTTCAAATTTTTAGTGTGGTAGGTTGCTACTCTAGACGTTGTTGTTGTTGCAAAAGGCTTTTTGAAAACAATGCAGACAGTGGAGGGGAAAAAAGAAAGCGGGCTGAAATGCACAGCAAATGGCAGGCTTCTGCCCCACAATCTACATCTGGTGAGTTAGATCTTCACGAAGCAAACAGCAGTGTTGGTAAAAACCAACCCAAATAGCTGAAAAAAGTGGCTGCACCAACAAGGCTCAACTGCATGTGTAAAGCCCTTTTTTAGTCATTAGATGCATAACATTTTCAGCTTCACCAGTCTGTTAAAGTGATGGGAATCTGTTATATGGCACTGGAAGTAGGCTATAATGCCTTAAAATAAAAGTAGCAACCGTTAGCAACTGAAATGCAATGTATCAGGTTTGGAACAGTCATGTGTAACGCGTTACTGCAGTACTTGTAGACAAATGTTATGTGATTTCAGTAATGTATGTGTTAAGAGTAATGTGTTCCCCTTAACACTGACCCCCAGCATGTAAAAAAATCCCTCTAATCTTATGTCTCATATTTCTTCCAGAGTGTTTGAGGAGTTGAGAAAAAGTTGTGGTGGGCTGTGCAGCATTGTGTACATAATGAAGAAAGAGACAAAACAACACACCGACATCTCCACATCTATTTCTACTTACCCATCCTGACTTTTTCACTACTTCTAGTGTGCAGGGAAGACACACACCATCCAGTCTGTCTACGTTAGCAAAATGTTGTATGTTATTTTATTGGTGACATGTTTGTAAGGTTATAGTTGCCATGCTTTGGGCCTGTGCCCATTTGCTGTTTGTTACAGTATATATGTACTACTCAATAAAACTGAATTCTTGGAGATGGTATTGCAATGACTGTATGGATGTTCAATAAAAATTGTATTTTATTATATATTATGTGGATTTCTGCACAAATTTCAAGGCACAATGACACACTACACATGCTTTTAAGGACTGTCAGATTTATGGTACAAGTTTTCTAGCATTATCACGATGAGGCATAGTAGTAAAGAGAGGAGCCACCATCAGCAAGAGTCCAGTGATGACCACAGCAAACATAGCGAACGCAGAAGGAGTCACAGCACTGAGTAAATGTCACCTCGCAGCAATATTACTTCTTCTACTCCCGTGTTTTTCTTCCTGTTTTCTACCCAAGTTGTCTGGTCTGTCCCTTGTGCTGAAGAGAAGGAACGTTTGCACGTCGGACCTCTGGAGTTGTTGTCTTTTGGTCAATATAATGTTGCTGATATTTCACTCCCTGTTAGACCGTTGTTAGTCTCCACTTGAAATCTGAAAAGTGGCAAAAAATGGCATTTTAATTTTCTATGGTTCGTGTTTTTGCCCCTGGAAGATATGGGTTTGTACATAATGCTGGCTTTTTGAAAAGTAGCATGTGTGAAGTTATTGGTCAATGAAGATGTTAGAAACGTGATGACCATACAGATAGGTTTGGATTTATCCGGTCAGGTTTCAAGATCCATATCTAAACTGTCTGCTACCACCTTGAGTGGTACTGAGTGGATTTTTTAGTTTTTTTTTTTTTTTTTTTTGTCATATTCCGATCTTTGGTAAATAAAATCTGAAAGAAAAAAAAAAAAGGGATTTTTGGATGTTGTCATAAGCCCAAAAAAAACCAACCTTAAAAACACTTTCTACACCATTCTAGTGGGATAAGCTACAACATCATCAAAAGCTGTCAAAATGCCCCTTTTAACAAGTCTGTAAAATTTGTTCAGGGTTTGAAAACAGTTTACTTTCTCTGTCCAGTTGTTTTAAAGCAATTGCTGGACTTGAGCATATCTGGACTTACACTTCTGGTCATCACAGGTTCTTATCCTATTTCTCTGTACTCTGTAGGCATGAATTGAAAGAAAACTTACACTTTAATTGAAAGGAAATAAAAATTGGTTTCTATTAATGTTGAACTGACCTGAGCTGAACCTGTCGTTCAAGGCTCACTGTCCTGGTCTTTGTATTTTGTTTTTGTTTTGTTAAAATCTTTCCTGTGTGTTTTCCGTTGTTGTGTCTCCCATGATTTCCTGTTTGTGTCTCCCTCTGAGTGTCAATGTGTACCTTCCACATCCCTTTTCAGCTACTTCCTGTTTCATTTGGTAACTGCCTTTGAAATCTTGTGTTGCGAGTGTTTTTACTTCTGCTCTTTGTCTGTGTTTGCCTCCTTTTTTGATAGTTTCACAGTGTCCCGTGACTCACCTGTGTCTGGTCTCCCCCATCACTTCTCTATATATAAATAGTCTTGTCTTTGCCTTGTCTAGTCTATTTTGTCCTGTTTGCCGCCCTCATATTCACCTGCCTGGATTTTTTTTCTCTGTGATCTTTTTGTTTTGTACCTTTTTGGGTTTCAGGTTTTGCATGTAGTTTCATTGGATTCCTTCCCCAAGCTATTGATTGTTTTCCCATAGTCGCAAGTTTGTTTAATTTTTTATTTTTTTTTGCCACAACCAGTCTGCCATCAGTGTCTGGCATTGGGCCCTATGTATTGATTTGCCCATGACAGTATGAGCTAGCCAAGAAACTGACCAAATGTAGAGTGCAGACTGACGGCACTCACATTGTTAGAAGCAACTGTGGCCTTAAAGGCATGGTTTATGCAATAATTTGAGCCTGTGTTCAGAGCGGCTTGCATTAAGAGTCTCTCCTGGAAGGTGTGGCCTTCATGGACACTATGAGTCCTGCTCAGCCAGCCCCAAGAATGCTAGTCTTCACCCAGCCCCAGAGTTAGCCAGCCATGAGCTTGCTTATCTCCTACCACCTTCAGCTTTTGATTTGGCCAGCCATCGGCCTTGTAGCCTCCTGTCAGCTCCAGCTCCTGAGTTGTCTTGCTGTCAGCCTGCTAGCCTAATGCCAGCTCCAAAGTTAGTCAGGTTTTGGCCAACTAGCTTCAAGCCTGTCCCCATGTCAGCATGTTCCTAGGTTGCTCAGTTCCAGTCCATTTCATCAGTGGGCTTAATCTGCCAGTTTCTTGCCTGATCCTGCCCAACAAAATCCCTAGTAGTCACCCTCTGGGAAGCCATTTAGAAGGAAATGTGACACCCGTAGACATCATTCTGAACTGCAGCTCAGCTCCTCGACCTCAGCACTACCTAGCACCTTGACCTCATCCCCACCAAGCGTCGTGGAGGTTTGCAGCCCTGCAACCTAGTCAACTCTTCTCCTGTTCCTGAGCCTGGATCAGCTTACAGCACTCCCCTCACTCAAAGCACTTGTCGCTGTGTGGCAGAGGAAATGCATCACGTCTGATCTTTGAGTTTAGTCACTTATATTCTACACAGAGCCTCAAACTGTTGTCTTCTTTCCCCACAAGCGCAATGGGTGATGCATACGCACTTGTGCTCTTGTTGATAACACCTTTTCAACAACTGATGGCCCATAGAGTTCATCAAGAAACTCCTCATCAGGATGCCCATCAACTACTACATCACCACTAAAAGGCTGAATTGGGCGCTGTCTTGGCAGATGCACATAAGACTTATTAGTACCAGCACTCAAAGCAGCTATTTTAGCCATAGCTTCATCATGCTTATCACTCAGTTCAGATAGTTTGGCCTGAGGATCAGTCATGGGGTCCATCTCTGCACCTTCAATTGGACTCAGTTTGTCATCACTGCCTCTTCCGACATAGCGAAGTGTCTGTAGCTTAATACCAGATTAGGATACAAAAAGTCTCCCAGGAGTCTCTCAATTGGTGCTGTGG